TGCCCTGGTCAGCCCAGGTGCAAAGGACCCCTTTAAAAGAAAGACCCCCGCCTACTTATGCTCTATTTCCTGCTATTCCCCTGGGGGCAAACACGACTTTTCCTGTCTCCCTCTTCTCTTCCCCTCTCTCTCTGTCTCATTGTCTCTTTACTCCCCTAATAAAACTTCTCACTAAGCTCTGTCTGCCAGTCATGTTTGTCATGTATCCCCCCCCCCCATGGAATGCACCAAGGTTTCCCACATGCTTTACTGTAACACACACTGCCCCAAGTGAGCCTCACGAGTTCTTCACCATATCCATCACCCCACTGGGTATCCAGACTACCACAGCCTCCTTCACGGTCTAGCCTGGTGAGCACGCTGACCTCCTTACATACTCCTTTCCCACATCCAGCACTCCACTCTAGCCTGGCTTCAGTCTTCGCTCCAGAGCAGCTCTACGCTTGGGCCAGGAACCTTCCCCCCATCTCCCAAACCACAGGACCTTCCCATGTCACATCCAACCTTTTCAATCAGACCTATCTACCCCATACTCCTGGCCTGAACCAGGAGACACATCCTACATGACAGCCTCTGTTTACCAGGCTCCATCGCATCTAAACCATTTCCTGCCTTGAGTTGTAGCTGACTTTAATCGGGTCAGGACTGGTCTGTCACTAAACTGAATCTAAAACTTCAGCATCTGCTGTTGCCTTCCCCTCTGGATCTCATCTCTCACAGGAAACAGCCAACAGGCAAAAGAGGCTATCTTTTTTTTTTTTTTTTCTTTCACCCACAAAGCTAAAGTTCCTGTTTACATTAAGGACATCTAGCTTTCTAGCACTCAACTACACAGAATTTGCTGACTCACGGTGAGCCAGCAGAGAAAATATGTTACTCAAAGTCCACAAGCGCTGAGGAAACTTCTTTGCCTTTCTAGAGGTAAGTGAACAAACACACACTGGGCTCACGCAGACAACGGGACAGCAGGTAGATAGAGCTTGAAGGGAAGGAACCTTGCCTGGATTCCATGGCACAGGAGAGGGCGGCCGAGGCTGGGGACAAACACCCAGGCAGACAGAGCTTAGCGAGGAGTTTTATTAGAAAGGGCAGGCGGGGGAGGGGAGGAAAGAGAAAAGAGGGAAAGAGACACAGAGATATAAAGAGAGGACAGAAGAGAAGAGGGAGACAGGAAAAGTCCTGGCTGCCCCAGGAGAACGGAGGGGAAGAGAGGAGAGCAGAAACAGAGAGGGCAGAAGGGGGGGGGGTCTTGTTTTTTCTTTCTTTCTTTCTTTTTTTAAGAACTCATACAATTGGGACTGAACAGTGGTAGGGATGGGTACAGAAGGCATCGGAGGGCTGGGAACGGGGAGCAGACTCGATCAAAACAAATTATGTGCATGTACAGATTTCTCAAGCAATAATTAATAAATAAATAAATAAATAAATAAATAAAGCCAGGTGGTGGTGGTGCACACCTTTAGCCCCAGCACTCAGGAGGCAGAGGCCGGTGGATCTCTGTGAATTCAAGGCCAGCTTGATCTACACATTGAATTCCAGGACAGCTAGGGCTGTTATACAGAGAAACTCTGTCTTGCAAAACCAAAATCCAAACCAAAACAACAACAACAACAAACAAACAAACAATAAAACAAAAATGAAGCATGACCCGTGCTTAGAATCCCAGAACTCAGAGGCTAGAGGCAGGAAGGTCAGCAGATAAAAGTCCAACCTTGGCTACATAGTGAGTTAGAGGACTGGCATCCACATTTCTCATGAAGAGGCGGGGGAGGGGGTGGAGGTGGGAATTGGGGGGTGGGGGACTGGGGGAAGAGTAGAGTAGGGGGCAGCTAAGATGGCAGGTGCTTGAGGAGTAGGCACAAATCCCCAGCTTGATTATTAGTACCCTTAGGTCTCAAATGGCTGAGGTGCCTATTTAACATACATACCAAAGCAGACCAGGCCACCGGGTTCTCCCAGCATCCCTCGGTCACTAACCGTTACAGGATATGGGTGGCCTACCTCCCCCCCCCCACACACACACACACTCTTGCCCTGCTCTCTACCTCCACTCTCCAGCCCAGAGGTTGGACTGCCCTCCCCCCTTCCCTAAATAACCCAACCATTGTGGTTCCCTGGCCTTTCCATCCCCCCTTTACCCTCTGTCTCCTCTCCCCCCTCCCCCCATCTTCTCACATGGCTCCGGGTCATGTCCACTCAGGACTCTCCCTGATGTCCCTGCTTCTTACTATGCTCTCCCTTTTAGCTACAATAAACCTTCTCCTCCACCATACCTAGGAGCAGTCACATCCCTGTCCCTTTTATTTTATTTTTTCAATCGTCTGGGAGTGCCATAAGTGAGTTCCCTCCCCAGGAACCTGGCCCCTGGGAACCAAGCTGCTGGCCTGACTCCACTCCTAAGGTATGGAGGAGGGGTCATTTGTTTCTGCTGGCTTTTGCCGGCCACAGAATTGGATTCTTGAGCCTGCCTCTTTTTCCTTAGCTAATGGCCCACCTCTCCCGGCATACTCAGTAGGTAGCCTCTCTCTGGCTCCTGGCTCCCTTTGGGGCACCCGCCACGTGGGCGTATTCCTGCTACACCTTCTGGGGCCACACCACTTGGGCAATTATACTTACTGAGACACTTGGTTCTCCTACTGGGACCCTCTCTTTTCCTAAAGCCTCTCACAGTGCACCTCCACAGCTGTTTCCTCCTCTGCCTGTTCTAACCACTTGCCTCTCCCCTCTCCAGGCAAAGAGTCCCTACAGAGCGCGCTGCTTTCCTAGTGAAAGCCGCACACCCGCCAATGTGCCAGGAAGCTTCCTCTCACTTGATTGGCCCCTATCACATGGAAAGGGACGCCTCTCCTCTGTGATTTCTCCCGGACTGGAAAGCCCAGGATGGAAATTCTTGTCACACTTTGTGGGAGAAGCTAGGGAAGTGAGGCTGAGGAGCCATGCCAGGGCTGCCAAGGGCTTCCCACCCGCCCGCTCAGGGGCCAGCCACAGCAGCAGGCACCCTGCGGGGCAACCTGAGAAAGTCACCAGTCCTCAGCCATGGCCGTGGTAGGACTGAAACCCTGTGGCCCTGGAACCTCTTAGGGCTCACTGATAAGTCAGAGCCTCACCTGTGGAGCAGAATAAACAGGCCTGGAAAACGGAGAGGGAGGAGGGAGTAGCAAAGGATCCAGGGCAACAAGCCATCAGTTAGTTCATTGTGCCTGAAACAGAAAGAAATGGCTTTCTCTCCAGTAAACAGGCCAGGGGCTGTTGACATTATGGGGTATGGCTGTGGTTTCTTGCAAAGGGAGTGGGAATGCCTGGCCTCTGCTCAGAGGATTACAGCAGCCTGGTCTCTGTGGAGAACTATTGCATGGGTGGTAACTGTCCACCAACATGCCAGTAATGAAAAGGAGTCTTGAAATGAGCTTGGCAAAACGCTCCGTGACCCTGTTGGGAACGGGCAAAAGTCACGCTTCAGACTCCATTTTACTTGTAGGGTGAAACAAAGTTCAGGTTCCCAAGCCCTAGGGCAGCTGGGAACTTTCCGTAGCTGACCCACCTCCTCTCTAAACCATAGACATACTCATTATGCATCTTTAGCTCTCTAGAAATGAAATGGCTGTTCCTAATGACAGAAGGGACAAATGAATCTGATTGGTTGCACTAGGTTTCCACATCACCCCCCAAATGCCCCTCAGTTCCAATCCTCTCTCCTGGTACTATTCCCTTCACCCATGTGTGCATAATCCCCCATTCTCATCCTCACGAGCATCCAGTATACCCACAAAATCTATTCTAGTTTTCCTTCCCAGGAAGATGTATGTATTTCCCCGTGGGCCCTCCTTGTTTCTTAGCCTCTCTGGGCCTGTGGATTGTAGCATGATTATCCTTTACTCAACAGATAATGTCTACTTATGACTGAGTACCTACCATGTTTGTGTTTCTGGGTGCAGGTTACCTCATTCAGGATGATTTTTTTCTAGTTCCATCCATTTGCCTGCAATTTTATGATGTCACTGTTTCTTTTTCTTTCTTTCTTTCCCTTTTTAAAAATTGTTGTTTTGTTCTTTGTTTTTTGAAGACAGGGTTTCTTTGTGGCTTTGGAGCCAGTCCTGGAACTTGCTCTTATAGACCAGGCTGGCCTCTAACTCACAGAGATCCACCTGCATCTGCTGAGATTAAAGGGGTGCGCCACCACCGCCCAGCTTGACGTCATTGTTTCTAATAGCTGAGTAATATTCCATTGCATAAATGTACCACATTTTCTTTATCCATTCCTCTGTTGAGGGACATCTAGGTTGTTTCCAGTTTCTGGCTATTACAAATAATGCTGCAATGAACATAACTGAGCAAGGGTCCTTGTGGTAGGATGGAGTGTCCTTTGGGTGTATATCCAAGAGTGGTCTTGAGATAGATGGATTCCCAATTTTTGCTCACAGAAAATTTTGCTCACAATCAGGCAGAATTGCATGAATACAAATTAGATCACTGACATTTGCAGAACCACATCCTGACACAAAGGCTACCATGACCTTACATAAATAAAAAAAAAAAAAAAAAAAAAAAAAAAAAAAAAAAAAGAAAGAAAGAAAGAAAAGAAAGAACACACACAAACCAAGAAAGACCTTTTTACTAGGTCATATGCCAGTTTATAGCCCCTTGTTTATTATTCTGTGGCCAACCACAGTTGTTTCAAAATAGTTATGTTAAGATGTCTCAGTTTGCCTTGACATTTTCCCTTGCCTCAAACTGCTTGAATACCCACTCAGTTCACTAGAGTTATATCCACTCCCATGGCAATATCTCTTTGCAAATAAACTTCCCATTTATTTATTTGGGTGAACCTTTTACCCTTGTTACTTAGGTTCACAAACCTCTGAGATACACTCCCACACTAAATCAGGCATTTTCCACCAAGGATACTTTGAACTGTGAGGAGTTTTACCTTTGTTCACACCAGTCAGTCCTTTAAAAATTGAAATGGCCTTCCTGTTCTAATGCTCCAATACTGGCTACTTGCCAGTGCAGTAAGAGCCCGCCTCCTTATCCAGGACATAAAACCTCCCCCAGCAGGCAGGCATTCATCTGCTCTCTCTCAGAAAAGTCTCTGCAGGAGCCATGGCTACGTTTGTGGAGCTCAGTACCAAAGCCAAGATGCCCATTGTGGGCCTGGGCACCTGGAAGGTGAGTGCATGGTCTTGGGGGTGGGCTTGGCATGTTCCCCTTCATTGCATAGCATCTGTGTTGGGTCTGGAAGCCCAGAGCTGTCACCCAATTCTTTCATTTGGAGCTTATTTGGATTGCAAATTTCCTCTTAGAACTTTGAGCCTTTCCCAGAATTGGCTGGCAACTATCAGGCTTCAAGCTGGTACTATACTTTGGGAAGAAAATGGTTTTCGGGGTAGATATTTTCTCAGAGATCTTTTCCTTGGGACACAGAGGCTCTCTGTTGGATTGTTACTGGCTGAGTGACAGAGAGGAGAGAGTTCTGAACTGCTCATAATACAAGACTCTATGCAGGCATCCCAGTGGTTGGGGGCTTGGGGATAGGCAGTCTCAAACCCCAGCCCAGGCTACTGAACCGGAACCTACTCTTCTCCAAGACTCCATGTGACTCCCTGACACAGTAAAATCTGAGCAGCCTGAGGACTACAGAGCCTGGGCCAGGAGGGGCATCAGCTCAGGTTCTGTCCTGACTGTGTTAATCTCTCCTGGCAAGTTGTTCCATGACCCATCCCAGTGTCCAGTGAAGTCAGTTTCTCAGCCTCTCTTGGGACAAGGCTGACATCTTGTAGCTGCTCCCTTCTGACTTCGCCCTTAGTGATAACACTACAATAGCCAGCTCAGTTTACAGGAGCTGTTTTTAATTTAGAGTTTGATTTCTCGAGACAGGGTTTCATCCTGTAACCTAAACTGGCCCCAAAGAAACTTGGGGTAACCCTCCTGCCTCAGCTTTTTGGATGCTGGGATTATAGATATAAACCTTCATCCCTGGATCATGAGCTATTTGGGAACCCTTCTCTCCTGACTCAGACTTATCTCCAGTCCTCCTCCTCTGTTTCTGTTTTCTTCTTCACACAGATCCCTCTTTGGTTTGGTGCTAGATTGAAATCTCCCCCTAGAACAGCAAGACTTGCAAATAAATTACAAATTTCACATTCCATCACGGTAACAAATAATCACGAACCTCCAGGGAATCTACTTGCCCTGAATAAATTTAGAAGAGATGAACATTCAGAATTTCACAAGCGTTGTAAATATTGTGAGGGAGTTGTTTTCAAAGGGAGGAGATGGTGCTGTGGAATAATCCTTCTGTTCATGGTAAGGATGGGTTCCTTTCATTGTTAATTAAAAAAAAAATGAGTGGCCAATGGCTAGGCAGGTTTAGGGGCAGAGAGAATGCTGGGAGGAAGAATTGAAATGGCTTAATTCAAGTTGCAAGAGCTGGCTGTAAAAAAGTCTCAACTATCAGCCCAGATTTATAATTAGTAATAAGTTTCTGTGTGATTGTCTGGGAGCAGCTAGTGGGATAGAAACCTCTGTCTGTAAGATGGTGCAGCTGTAGGACTCTGCCTATCAGTGAACATGCAGGAGGGGTGGGGCTTTGAACCTGGACCCCAGTGCTTTTGAGTTTCTGGCTATACCCGTGATGGTATAACTGATCTCTCCTTTATGTGCATCTCAAAGTCTGATACTTACAAAGAATTTTCAGATTTTTTGATCGGTGCTATTTTTATTGTTTGAGAGTCTTATGTGGCCCAAGTTGGGCCCAACTCATTACGTGGCAAAGACTGGCCTTGAACTCCTGATTCCTCTACCTCCCAAATGTTAAGGTTACAAACATGGGCCCCCACATCCAGCAGGATGATGCTTTGTTTTGAATGAGAGGGCAGTGTGCCCCAATCTGGCCTCAGAGTCATTACCCTCTGCCTCCGTGCCTCTCGTGGTGGGATTACAGGCACCCAACACTGCGTGAGTGCCCAGTGCTTGTTTTCCTCTGCCAGTGTCTGGCTTGGCTAGGTTAGATCAGAAAGTGATATTTCTAATGTTCCCTTTTCTCCCTTTGTCTTCTTTTTCTTATCAGTGGTGGGAAATTGAATATTATAAAGTTTCCTATCTGTTCCTTTTCTGAAGCATTAAGTAAGTATTGGTTACATCAACCCAGCCTTACTAAGTGCTAGGTGATATGCTAAAAAGTTCAGTCTTATGGCAAACAAACAACACAAACGTCTCAAGAGGCAGGCCCAATACTGTTGTTGTAATTTGTTGTCGAGGTTTTTAGAAGCTGAGCAATCTGCTCAGCCGTATACTGTATCATGGCAGAGCAGACTAGTTTGCAATGACTATTTTGAGGTCCTTCGAACAGTCTGGAGTCTGAAAATCCTTCTTGGTCCCTTCAGAATGTAGTTTTCAGCCTGGCCTTCAACAAGTTGCAAGGGGAGCCATCCATCACTCTCAGAAACTGGAGATCAGTCTGGATTAGCAGACAACTAACAGTTAACTGGAATAGGACATGGGTGATAATCATTACAATGACATGTGTATTAAGAGAGTGATGAAACCCATCACTTGTATGGTAACCTAAAAATGAAATGCCCACTTGGAATTAAGACCCCAGCAAGGGTGTGGATTTGAGAATATGGACTATGTGGACCCTCTAAGAGGCAACGGGCCTTGGGACTATCTGTCTTTTCCATTGTCTTTCAGTCTCCACCAGGCAAAGTCAAGGAAGCTGTGAAGGCCGCCATCGATGCTGGTTATCGCCACATTGACTGTGCCTACGCCTATCAGAATGAGAGTGAAGTAGGGGAAGCCATCCAAGAGAAGATCAGAGACAGGACTGTGAAGCGGGAGGACCTCTTCATCGTCAGCAAAGTACGAAGGCTCGATGGCCAGCTTGGCGGGCAGGACTTCAAAGCAGGCGAAAGCTGTGTGTGGCCAGCTTCAAGAGCTTATCAGCTGTTCCTCTGCACCTGCTTGACTCCTAACCCTTTCCCCTCTGTCTTATACTATCTCTATACAGACTTTCACACACAGACACGCCCGCTGTTGGAGTGGTCACACCTGTATATACTCATTGTCACTCTTCACGGGGCCTCACCAGCCTGGGGATAAGGAAGTAAATACTAAAAGGGCCCGCTGCACCTAATGGCATCCTAATGCTTGAATTTTAAGAACCACCCAAAAACTCCTGCCCTCTGAGATGTGAGAGCCAAGGAAAGGCATAGCACAGGAAGACAAAATTTTAGTCAGTGGCCGGCCAACTGTGTTAAACGACCAAAGAAACAAAGAGAATACCAAGGGCATGGAAGACTTAGGAAACGGTCTTGACTTGATGAGAGCTGGTGACCTATTTGTTCAGTTTCACACGAGGAACGGACAGCTGGAGTGACTGTTTCACAGAGCACAGGGGACTTGGGCTCCAGGTTCTCCCCATATCCTTCAGGCCCTACCTGTTACAGAGTATGGCTGGCACACCCTGTCCTCTACTCCTGAACTCTCCAGCCCAGGGGCTGGGCTGCCCTTGCCCCAGAGGCTCTTCCCATATAATGCAGACATTTTGGTTACCTGCCCCTATTTGAACCTTTGGTCTCCAGGCTGCTGCGCCTCCTTCCTCCTCTTCCTTCACCCTCCTCCCAGTGCCCAGCTCAGCCTGGTCATGTCCACTCTCTCTCAGATGTCCCTCCTCTATCTATTCTTTCCCTTTTATCTACAATAAACTTCCTCCTCCATCATACCTAAGAGTAGTCCGTCCTTTGCTTGCTTTCTTTCTTATTTATTTATTTTTCATTCACCACTGGATTGCATTTCTAGCTAATTTCATTGTAAGTGAATGACCTGTCCCAGGATTTAGAAACCACGAAAGGGGAAGAGTGACTGTGGTGTGTGTGGCCCTTTCCTCCAAATTCCCCCTTTTTTTAAAAAAAAAATTAATTTTTATTTAAATTAAAAAGTACCTTATTTTACATACCAATCCTTCCCATTTTACCATTCCCCCAACAATCCCCCCATCCCACTCCCATCCACTCTCAGGGAGAATGAGACCTCACATTCTGGATCATCAAAGTGTGTCACATCATTTGGGGGCAGGGCCTAGGCCCTCCCTCATGTATCTAGGCTGAGACAGTATCCCTCCATGGGGAACGGGCTCGCAAAGTCCATTCGTGCACCAGGGATAAATACTGGTCCCACTGCCAGAGGCCCCATAGACTGCCCAGGCCAACCACCTCCAAATTCCTAATGCCCTCTTATCACACCCTACAGCTGTGGCCCACCTTCTTTGAGAAAAGCCTGGTGAAGAAATGCTTCCAGAAAACCCTCTCGGATCTGAAACTGGACTATCTGGACCTGTATCTAGTTCACTGGCCACAGGGGTTCCAGGTTAGAGCTGCTCTTTGCCTCATCTCTACTTTCTGGGAGTTGCCACAAAAACAACTATTGAGCCAAGACTGTGACACTTGGCAGGGACCAAGTAGGAGATCTTTTTTATTTATTGATTTTCTGGGCATGGGTGCTTTGGCTACATGTATGTATGTGCACCAGGTCCCTGAGTCCTGGAGCTATGGATGGTTGTAAACCACCATGTGGGTGCTGGGAACCCAACCCAGGTCCTCTGCAAGAGCAATACGTACTCTTTTTTTTTTTTCCTGCTGAGCCATCTCTCTAGTTCCCAGAAGATCTTGAGCAGAGCAGAGGGGGGAAAAAGAGCCTGGTGTGGAGTGGAGACTGGGGCAACAGGTGGTACTTGCTCAGCCTCATGCTGGGTTTTATGCAACTGTGTTTGAAGAAACAGCAATTTCTGCTAGCTCAGATAGATTGCAGTCATCTCCCTGTTGACTCCATGCTCAGGAGTGCCCTGGGTAAGATGTCTTGGGATACTCTTGCATAAGTCCCTGTAAATCAAAATATGCCAGGGGAGAGACCTCCACAATATGGTGGTAATGGCAGTTAGGCAGTCTACCCCAAAGAAGCGCTCTACAGTGTCTAGGGCTCTGCTTCCAAGAGTTGGAGGGATGTGCCCTCATGAACAGCTACAGTGACAGTGGCATGGTCTCCAACACTCAAGCCTTCTGAAGGTGGCGAAGTCAAAGTCAAAAGCTGACTCCTCATTTCTCCCAGATAACCATACTCTCCTGATAGAACTTTTGTCTAGCAACTTTGAAATTAAAATTCCTCCAAGTTTATACTGGTTAATTTCTAAGGTGATAATGATGACTTTTATAATATACTAATGGATCTGGAGGCCAGAAATAGGGGGCTCACATCCCATGGTAGATTGGTACAGAAATTGATTGAGGGTTACTGTTTTTATGTGAGTGTTCCAGAGTTTGAGCAAATGCTATGCAGACATGGGCATTTCCTAATGCACTGTCCTGAGACATCTCTTCACAGGTATCTAAATGCAGATTCCAGTGAGCTTTTTGTTTTTTATTTACAGGCTGGGAATGAGATATTCCCCACAGATAGTAAAGGCAAACCTCTCATGAGTAAATCCACATTCTTGGATGCCTGGGAGGTAGGTTTTAACTTGTTTCAAGGGTGTTCGGAGCTAATGTCTTCTGTCAGGTCACCTTGAGACTTCATGCTGGTGTGAAAAGACTCTAGTGCTTTGTATACAACTTCAGGACCATTATTCTCCCATGTCCCCCGCCCCTTTAATGTGTGTGCAGAGGTACTTGGAAAGTCAGAGGACAGAAGTAGGTTGATTCCTTCTAGCAAGCAGGTTCCAGGGATAAAGTACAAACCTCGGGGAACAGAATCCAAAAGAGGGGAAGAGTAATAAATGAGTGTAAGGAGGGCAAGATGGGCCATACAACCTACCCAAACTTGACCCAGGACACAGAAGACCATTCACCGTACCTCCCTGCCCACTGGACTTTCTTGTCTCATCAATATTCAGCTGCCCTGACTAGTAAAATCTGTCCTCATCCATGCATGACTAGTAAAATCTGTCCTCACCCATGCATGCTGTGGTCTTCAACTCTGTCTACTAAATCTCCAGGAAGAGTTCCGGGAAATCTTGAGAAGCCAGGGGGTGAAACCCACACATCCATTTCCTTTATCGCCTTCAGAAGGTGCAAGGAGCAGCCAAAGACGAGACACCATGTGTCAGCTGAGCACACCTTGCTTGTCCCTGCCTCTAAGCCCTTGCTCCTCCTTCCCCCAACCTGTTCATGTTTTCACTACCTTCCTTCATGTTGTTTTGTTCTCAGGCCCAATTTAACAGTCCCCTGGGATCAGAGAATCTCATCCTTACCCTCCTCATCCCTGTGCTATCTGAACTGTCAAACAAGCCGTGGTAGCGTAGCCCTGAGGCTGATGGCTCAGGGACTGAAACCCTAGTACATGAACGGGGCTGTTAGAACCCCAAGCAGGAAGTAACACACTGTATATGTTTCCATTCTGGAAACAGAATATAAACAAGAACTTAGACTGAAGGGATTGAAAATTCACGTTTAATGTGTTTCAGATCAGATAATTAGCTTTGAGAAGTTTAAAACAAGCTTGTTGTATTTAGGTAATAAAGAAACCCTAGATCCTCAGGTTGATGCAACAGGGTTGGACAAATCGCCAGTGGTACAGACGTCAGGCCACCCATGTCTAGACTGGATGTCACGGCCCATTTATCTGCAAGGTTTCCTTACTGCGCACTTGTAATCACAGCTAGCTATGTTAGAGGCTAAGGCAGGATGATCAAATCCTGCCTGGACTGCGGAGTAAGTTCAAGGCCAGCCTGTCTAACTTAGAGAGAGCCTACCCCAAAATCGAAAAGTGAAAAGGGTATAGAAACTAGAGATGCAGCTCAGTGGGCAGACACTTCTCTAACACAGGAGGGGCCACCAACTCAGTCCCTAACACCACAATATAAAATAGCCATCATTCCTTTCCTCACATCGTGGGCCATTTCCTGGATAACCCATGTCACTCTGTTTCAGTCACTCTGGCCTAAGAGCAGATAGCAAATAAAACCTCCACTTTCCTTTCTTGGTTACTTACACTGATCTGGGGAGGGCTAGAAGGGCTAGAACCAGCCAGGGAGTACACCACAGTCTAGCTGGAAATTCCCTTTAGTCCTTCACTTAACCTTGCCATGCAGGAGCCATTCCTGGTATCCAAGGACTCAGCCAAACCAGCATCCCTGTATCCTCCTACAACCATCTAACCAGTATCCCTTCCTGTGACAGGGCATGGAGGAACTGGTGGACGAGGGGCTGGTGAGAGCCCTGGGTGTCTCCAACTTCAACCACCTGCAGATCGAAAGGCTCCTGAACAAGCCCGGACTCAAGCATAAGCCAGCGGTTAACCAGGTAAGTTGGCTTAGGTGAAGGCCCCCGCTCTGGGACTGCCTCACCTTGGGAGGCAATGTCCATACTCTCTACTGAGCCTCGTCTCTGAGGTCTGTGTTCAGGATGCGCAAGCAGATGGGAGGCAGATTGGGTCCAATTCGCGTAGTCTGTCAATGATTTGTGTTTGGCCTTTGTTTGTTTGTGTTTTCTTGTGTGGAAGAGTTCTTTTGAGCCACTCAGAAAGCAGGCCTACTTCCCATGACGGATGGAGGTGTTTTCTCTTGCAGATCGAGTGTCACCCATACCTAACCCAGGAGAAACTGATCCAGTACTGTCACTCCAAGGGCATTGGCATCACAGCTTACAGCCCCCTGGGCTCTCCAGACAGACCTTAGTAAGGCCTCAGAGCGGTGGCTCCTTCTTTTATCACTTAAAATTAGCATTTCACAACTTATCACTATTAGTATACATTTTCAAGGCAGGAGGCAAAACGTTATCAATGGCAATGTGTCTGGCAACCTAATTGAGACAGTAAAAATGTTACTGTGTCTGGTCCCCTGGAATACTCCACTTTCTGCCATCCAGCCATGGGGCTAAAACTCTAGAGCCTATGCATGAACCCAGGGAAAGACACAAAATTTGCAGTCACCCCACCTGCCCTGCAGAGGAAAAGCCTGCAATGCCCACCTTGACTCTGAGCTGGAACCGATACTCGCTGACGATGCTGCTCACTGACATGGAGCTGTCCATGGTGGTTTTCACTCCAGTCATATTTCTTCCTCTAGTGCCAAGCCAGACGACCCTGTAGTACTGGAGATTCCCAAGATCAAGGAGATTGCTGCAAAGCACAAGAAAACAGTAGCTCAGGTAACATGAAGTGTTTTTTTTTTTTTTCTTTTAACCACAAGCCAATTTATTGTAGTCATGTATTTAACTGTTGCTTGCTTTTAATCCCTTGGAGAGGGACAAAGGGGGATAATGAGCCCATTGGAAGTTCCGGAAACTAATTCCAGTATCGGTGAAGCAAGGACGGCCTCTGTCCATCAGCTTCCTGCCAAGCTCTCAGGTTTTGGGTTCAGGTTCCAATTGTATAGGGTCTCAGCCTACAACAGGCCATCCTCCTCATTCCTAACTAGGAAAATCATAGCGTGTTGTTTCTGAATCGAGGGACATAGGAAGGGAACTGGTAAATGTCCCTCCTGATACTGAGGTAGGTGCCTGGTTAGTATTAATTGTTGTAAAGCCATAGGGATCTACTTAGTTGTCATTTCACCCCGAAGGAGGTGCTCCTGTAGGAAAATGGACACATGCCTCTCCTTCGTCCTCTACAGGTTCTGATTCGGTTCCACATCCAGAGGGATGTGGTGGTCATCCCCAAGTCTGTGACGCCCTCCCGCATACTTGAGAACTTTCAGGTGAGGCGTGGTCAATCAGCTGATAGTTTTCAGATGGCAGGAGGGTCTCATCCCATTCCATCATTGCCAGCATGTCTTCCCTTGTTCCAATACTTTTATCAACTCCTAGGCCAGAGAGCTGCACGGTCACCAGTGGGTCACAGATGGATGGGCAGCCACCATCGCCCAGTCAGGACTGGTCACAGCTCTGCCTTTCACCACTGAGCCTGCCACTGCAAACCATTGAGTACATAGGTCATATGCCAGTCACTGCACACATTTAGTAGATATGAAGTCTGGACTTGAAAAACTGTCCTTCTGAGATG